GGGTCCCTTTTTTAGGTCCCAAATATAGTAACATAGTACGGCACCTTCATAAAAGGACCCTGAAATCTGAAAGGGACCCTACATTAGAGAAGTACCCATATACTGAAGCCTTAATTCAAGGGTGTTTAAATTATTGGTATCTGCCTTCTCTAAACCACCGGAACGAAACAGAAAGTCATAGATGCTTAGGGTGGCGGGCAAACCCTGAGCCCTAAACCCTGAACCCGAAACCCTAAGCCCTAAATCCCGAAGCCGAAACCCTAAGCCCTAAAACCCTGAAGCCAAACCCCCGAGGTTCCTCCAAACCCTAAAGCCCTGAAACCCCTAAACTCTTACAAGCCCTAAACCCCTAAACCCCGAACACTATGGATACTATATAAAACGATACACGAAAGCCCCAAACCCTAAACCCGTTGCGCTCTATACCCTGAGCCCTATGTAAGGATACTACGAGGATACTGAACCCCAAACTCTTACAAGCTCTAAACCCTGAACCCAAATGATACTAAAAGGACACTGAACCCTAAACTCTTACAAGCTCTAATCCCTGAACGGTGAGGATACTAAAGGGATACTGAACCCTAAACCCTTCAAGCTCTAAACCCTGAGCCCTGAAAATACTGAACCCTAAACCCTTTAAGCTCTAAACCCTGAACCCTAAGGATATACAAAAAAGGATACTGAACCCTAAACTGCCCTAAACCCTTTAAGCTCTAAACCCTGAGATCTCAGGTTGCATCTCAGGCCTGGAAGTGGGGGCAGGTGATGCAAAGTGCGAGGCGCCTGAAGAGGACGTCCTGCGGTTTAGGGCTTAGGGTTGAGGGCTTAGGGTTTTGGGTTTTGGGTTTAGGATTTCGGGCTTTGGGGTTTAGGGGTTTAGGGGTTTAGGGTTTAGGGTTTAGGGGTTTACGGTTTAGGGGTTTAGGGTTTAGGGTGCTGCGACTCGGAAGGCCCGATGCCGCTGCAGTGGCTTAGGTCTTCGAGGGTCTGGGGGTGTATGCAGCTTCTGGCTCAAGGTGCGTGCTTTTTCCAAGAACATACGCCTGAATACTGAGCAAGGCTACCCTCTTTTCAGTCTCTAAATCAAGACTGAAAGCCCCAAAGCCTTGAACCCAGGTTTACGGACCGCACTTTCTTAAGAACAGGAGATTCGAGCACAACAACCACAGGTGCATGGTCCCACAGATATCTTTTGCTGATTCAGGCTGAGCGGTTCAGGGTAAGAAGAAGGAAACACCGAACTCCAAATGCAGCAGGAGCCAAGATGGAATCTCCCAAATCCTACACCCTACACACCCACACTGAACTAAAAGCTTGCTTCCAGAGCAAAGTGCGAAAAAGACCCGATGCACACCCTTAAAAACCCATAAGCGGAGAACCATACACTAACTGTAATCCTGGAGCCCGAAGTTCGTACTGTAGACACCTTCATAACTAGACTAGGGTTTTTGTTTTTGTACTAAACTTCTAATAAGGAACCCCCAAAACAGTTTTGGTACTTACTTAGGCTCCTATAGTACCGAAAAGCTGCAGAGTACAGGGCGTTGGCCCTCATGGGTTCTGGTTTGGGGTTCCACTCTGTTTTTAGTGAGACGCATTTCTTGGGCGGTTGTTTAAGCCGAAAGATCCCTAGACCCTAAACCCTAAGCCCAATGACTAACGAGGGAAGTAGCTCTCGCTGGGTCCTTGTCAACCCCCAAATCCCAGTTTTCGGCCTACTTGGAGGTTCATGGGTAGTTAGAAGTAGGGTTATAAGTAGGATATCTATACTTATAACCCAAACTAGGGGACTTATAACCCTACTTATAACTACCCCTAAACCCTAAAAACCCTATAGAACCCTTTAAAGGAACCCTTAAAGGAACCCTATAACCCCCACTTATGACTACCCATGAACCTCCAAGTAGGAGTCACCGGTCCTGCATGCGGTGGAACTCTGGCGGCTGGGTCAGTTCGAGCGTCTCCTGATCGCGAGTGTGCCCTGCTTGGAGGTTCTAAAATGTAAGTGGGTTTCGGGTTTAGGGTTTGGGGTTTAGGGTTTAGGGCTTAGGGTTTAAGGTTTAGGGTTTCGGGATTATGGGCATAGGATTTAGGGTTTGGGGTTACAAGTCCCCTCATATGGGTGTATAAGTATAGCTACCCTGCTGATAACCCCACTTATAACTACCCATGAACCAAAGTGAGGTCAAGTCTCAACAGATTAAGTCTACCTACTTGTCCAGTATCCTGGGGAATTAAAAGTTAACCTTTGGGAGCGTACTTGGAGTTTAAAGGGAGTGTGGCACCTCAAAAAGTTACAGGTAGCCTACTCTACTACTAGGTCCAAGCCGCAGTACTTGTTTTGAACATGGGACTTTGTTTTGGTTGGGCACACACTGGCACACGAGGAGTCACCAGCAATCGAAGTTCCCGACAACAAGGATGCAGCTGGCAATTTCATCAGCCCCTAAGCCCTAAACTAGGATTTAGGGGTTTAGGGTTTAGGGTTTAGGGGTTTAGGGTTTAGGGTTTAAGGGTCTAAGGGTTTAGGGGTTTAGGGTTTAGGGTTAGGGTTTGTATGTAGCACGAACCCAGCCCTAAAGCAGCAACTGAGGGTCCAAAGCCAAAAGTCCAAATGCCACCCAGCAACTCAACGCCTTTGAAGTCCGTAAAGGCACTCCAAGAAGCCCCTAGGCCCTAGACACGGTTTAGGGTTTTAGGGTTTTGGGTGTTAGGGTTCGAACCCCGGATCGAACCCCAAAGATTGACAAGGCTTGGGGCTTAAGGTTTGGAATCCGTAAGCCCCCAAAGGACATTTGCACTGCCTCCAACTCATTGAGGAACAACACCTGCTTAGAGGTGATCGACACCTGTAGCAGCTGGGCAACTGCGGCTTGGGGTTTAGACGTCAAGGCTTTGGGTTTAAGAAGGCTATAAGGGCTCCAGATGTTGCGTCTAAGGTTGGAGAGCACCCTGTTCGTAATCTCATGATAGGCGACTATTATTTGCTTTACTCATTTCAGCTCCCAGAATTTGGGAGCATGGATGCGGTAAACGAAGGCCTCTGGTGAGCATCTACGCTCGGAGAGCTGTTTAAAGGCGAGCCTAAGACTTACCAAGGCTTCAGCACCTTTGCATTTTCTGTTTAGAACTTCCAGGGTTTAGGGTTTACGACAGTATGTAGCTGCAACAACAGCCGGGGACCAGGGTAACTAGCTGACCCACCCAAAGCTAAACGCAAAAACCCCAGACTGGCATCTTCTGAACGGTCGGGTATCTTCCTCTACGTCTAACCCTCAACCCTAGACCCTAACGTTAGGCAAAACCAACCCTAGGCTTTGAAACCTAACCGACAACCGAAACACTTCAGGGCCGTGAGTGCCGTGAGCGCACTGACTTGCATCTTCTGCTCTGGGCTTCTTGTCGACTCTCTGTTGGTCCCTAAATCCTAAGCCTAAACCTCAACGGGCAACACCCTAAGCCGTAATTAAACCCGAAGCCCGAAGCCGCTTCGACTCAGCAGCGCTTTGCGAAAGAAGATCTCCCGAGGTGGCTCTATCTCCAGGGCTGAGGACTTATGGTTGAATGATGCTCCATGCCGCTGCATTCTCGATCGAGACGCCCTTGCGACTCCAAATGGCTTCTGTTCAGGAATAAACCTTACATCAGGTTTCCCATAGGCTCCAAAGTGGTTCCTGGTTGGGGTTGCCTTATCGGATCCTAAATATAAGCCCACATTCAAGGAACTACAATGGAGCCTATGGGTAGGGACCCTAAACCCTAAGCCCAAAACCGTGGCTTTTGTAGGTGGAGTACCTTTGCTGCATCAACCCCGATACTGTAGTTAAAGGAAGCTACAGGTGGGGAGGTTAGGGTATACAGGGCTTCTATAAGGCTTCTATAAGGTATATAGACCTTCTTGAAGGCTCCTATAACCGTAGCTACCCACCTGAAAATGTCCTAGATGTAGAGCAGACTCTTCCGGGTTGACTCGGGCTCCCGGAGTTGGGTTTCAGATGTGGATTCGGATCAGTATCCCCCAGATATGCGAGGGTTTAGGGTTTAGGAGTCTAGGAGCTTAGGGTTTCGGGTTTAGGGTTTAGGAGTTGAGAGGTTCAGGGGTTTAGGGAGTTTAGGGTTTAGGGTAAATTTCAGGGTTCGGGAACTCCAATATCCAGGACCGCCCAGCCCGTTGCAATGAGGGCGCTTACAAACCGAAGCTGCAGTGCCTGACATTCGTAGATAAGATCCTCTTAGGCCCTATAAGGGAAAGTAAGATCCTCTTAGGCCCAATAAGGGAAAGTAAGATCCTCTTAGGCCCAATAAGGGAAAGTAAGGCATGTCCCAAAGCTGCTCTTTGTTATGGGTTCTTATAAGTATGTAAGTATAGCTATCCTATTTATAGCCCTACTTATAACTACCCATGAACCTCTTACCTGGTTTCGAATTCTGAGGGCCGCGCGGGCCAGTAGCGCAGCATCGAGGTTATGATGTCATACGCCAGGCGCGGGTCCTCGCCACAAACTGGATCCTTGCTTTGGGAATTCCTGCACTCCCGGCCCCAATCCCGAAGCCGTACTAAGGTGGTGAGGACTATACGAAGTATGGAAGAACAACACGTATCCCGAAAACAAGACCCCACCAACACATTCACCAAAATTGCAAAGCAGACCTATCTACTTACCAATGCCATAACATTGTCCATCAACCCTACTTAAGATGGGATTCGCATGAACTTGTTCCTGGGTGTGGTGAGGGCTGGGTTGGCTGACTTAGCTTTGTGGTTTGTCTCTGGAGTCAGGGCCTGAAAAGTTCTATGCCGCGCCAGATTAAGCTAAAACAAGCGGCGAACGAGGGAACTTAGAAAAGAGGGGACCAAGAACCGAGAGATGTGGGAGTCAAAGAGCCAAGTCATCTGCAGATTCGTGAAGCTCCGAAATGTATGGTGCCCCAAAAATTCAGGGGCTCAGGGTTTTTAGGGGGTTTCGGATTTATAAGGGTTTAGAGCCTAGAGTTTAGAAGCTTAGGGGTTCGGGGGTTGGGGGATTTCTGGCTTCATGGGTTCGGGGATCGTTTAGGGTTTAGGGTTTGGGGGTTTAGGGTTTGGGGGTTTAGGGTTTCGGGGTTTAGGGTTTGGGGGTTTCGGGTTTAGGGGTTTAGGGCTTAGGGGTTTTAGGAGTTTAGGGGTGTACGGGTTTAGGGTTTAGTAAGTCAAGTCCTTCTCAACATACTGCGCCATGCAGTAGGACAACTGCTGGTAGAAGGAAGCCAGGGATTTCACCTGCCAGCGTCTTCTACAAGATGAGTAACAAAGGCATGCTATGACAGTCGAAAGCGAAATTAAAACAGCTAGGGCCTGACATACTAAGATGCTCTATACCCCAAACCCTAGACCCTAAACCCTAAACCCTAAACCCCAAACCCTAAACCCTGAACCCTAAGATGCCCCAAACTCTAAACCCTGAGCCTTTGGCCACCAACTCTCAAAGAGAACTCTGCACTGAGGCCGGAAACCTGAAATCCCCAAGGTCCATGTACTCCTACAGACTCAAATGGGTAGTTCCGTAAATTAGGGTTCCTTTGGGGGGTCCTTTTTTTTAAGGGTGCCGTACTACATTGAAATTGGGGGACCTAAAACGGGACCCTAATTTAGAAAACTACTCGTATAGTATATACTTTGGCCTTGAAGACATCCCGATATAGGCACTTTGGGGACAAAGTATACACTATGCCAGCACATGGACTCTTGAAGGAACCCTCGCAAGGAATTCTTTAAAAGGAACCTGCCTAAGGGAACCCTAAACCCCCAAACCCTTTTAAACAAAAAGCCCTTGAGGAGTTTTGAGAGCCCTTGGTCCGAATCCTCGGAGCCCCAAAACGGGGGGGCCTTGTGCAGTGGGATGAGAGCTTTGATGAGGAAGTCTTTGTGCTCTTCTTTCAGGGGAAGAGCAAAGCCTACGGCAAAAAAAGGCAGAAGATGGGCTCAAGTTGAAGCTTCGGAGAATTGGATGCTAGGAATTAGGGTTCAGGCTTCGCGGACTAGGTCTTGGGACTTATTCTAAGGCTTTGCTTGTGTGGGTTTGCCAGGCGCACAGCAGGGTTTAGTGCAGACGGCTTTGGAGTGCCAAGGCTTGGGATTCAATACTGCAGACGTAGACAAGAGGGTCCTGCGTGATGGGTCAGGGCTTCGAGATTATGGTTTCGGATTTGAGGTGTTACGGCTTGGGGCCGTGGCATGCTCAAGTCCATTTCTCCAGCCAACCAGAAAACGGTGGTCATCGCTAACAAACACATGGCTGGCATTCTTGCACAGTTCCCGCGTAGTTGCAGTGCACGCTAGCGACAAAGGCCCTGACCAACAGCTGTTCGATACAGGGCCCAAGAATAAGGCTATACTATAGTTGTTGTATGTTGCATTCTGGTGCTATGGTCAGGTTCTGACACTAAGAATGATGTGATTCAGGAACCCTAATAGGGAGTTGATCATTACATGTAGGCCTCGTTTTGAACCACGGCCTTGCAAAGCCATCCTTTATGGGCCTTATACTATTGGAATTGCCGACAGGAAACCTCTGACGGTTCGGGGTTCAGGGATTTTGCGCGGAGGCATCTGGGGTTTAGGGCTTAGGGTTTCAGGGTTTGGGGCTGCCGGCAAGAAACCGTTGATGATGCTGCCCAAAATCTCGAGCAACTCGCCAACACCGTTGTGAGTCTCAGATTCGTAGATGACCTGTGCTGACCGGAGGATGTACTAGAGCCATGTGACTATGATGTACATACACCTTTGTAACAATGAAAATAAACATGTTGCTATACGATACGCATACCCTTTTGCTTGAACTATTTTGTTGGACAAAAGGCTATGATCCTGTTAGAGATTATGAGACTATAACTACATTGTTGTACAACGGAGAAATGGCAGACCTCTGCCTCCTACAGAGGATCTCCTACCATGATAGCAAATACATGAATCATCCGAGGTCTTGTAGGCTAAAGGACCCGAACCTGAAATGCACTAATTCTTCAGGGCTCCTTAGCACGATTTTATTCTCTAAGCTCTTTGAATGGTAAGTGGCGGGAAGAATGAGTAGAAATCTACCCTCATAGTCCCTCTATAATGAGTATGCTATGATGGACCCCCAAAAGCCTTGTACTAGGATGTATGGTCCACCCACAAGAAGGGCCTTGAAGAAGACGTGCTGAATAGCACGTCGGATGAAGGACCTCAAGGCCATGAATTTGCCTGGCGCTGCTGCGGGCTTAGGGATTATAGGATTTAGAGTTTAGTTTAGTGTTGAGGGAGAAGAAGTGCAAGAGGGCTCAAGGAACAGTAGTCAACCAGGGCTTACAGTCACTCTTTGGTGGGGAGGTATTGACGGTGTGATCGAAAGCGGCAGTGTAAATATCGCGACTACGGCTGTTGGATTTGTAGTTTATACCAGTGCTACAAGCATGGCTGCTCTTCTCATGGTGGGACTAGACTTTTGATCTTGTTTCTGCAGGTTCCAAACAATGATGCTGCTTCGGATTGAAAGCCGGGCAGATGACGACCATGTTCTTGTTTGGGAGTGATCACCACAGCAATGCCCCCTCCGGCCGTAGATGCGGTGCAAGATCGTCTTCAAGTAATCTCGCTCCCGCGGATCCTGGCCAGGACGGGTAAGGGTTTAGGGTTTAGGAAGGGCAAGGGTTCTGGACCGTAAAACGTACACAAGCTTACGCAGGAGAAGAGTTTACAGTGTCCGAACGCTGCTCAAATGTGACAACCCCAGGAAACCCCCTAAACCCTAAACCCTAGACCCTAAACCCTAAACCCATGTAGTGCTTGGAGACTGTGGAACCAAGGGAAGACTCGCTGGAACCAGCGGATCTCAAGTGAGAACAGAGCCCCAACAACCGATTAAAGGAAGCCAACTCTACGAAGGATCCCCCAGGCCGCTCTTGACGGAGTATTTCTTGTGTTTCAGCATGCTCCAAAACAATACACACACATAGATATATATATATAAACATCAAAACATGAGGGTGAAACAGCTGGCCATACAACCAAGACCCTACAGCACGCAAACCCCAGAAAGCTTAAACTCAATAGACACTAACAGTAGCAGCAACGCAATTGCTTACACCCAACTACTTGTACAGCGATAACATGATGAATGATAGCACCAAAGCTGATCACCCTCAAATTGAATGCAGCAATCCCGATACCTCAATGTAGGGGCATCCGGGGGCATTCCAAATTAGAACAGCCTTGGAGGGTACATTATAGTATGATAAGAGAGGAACTATGCGCGGACACTATTTCTTCCGACCCCGAAATTCCCCCCCAAAGTACCCGAAGAGCGTAGAATTAGGTGCTGGGCTGCTGAAGCCCCGAAGCCACAAATCTCCCAGAGAGCCCAAATAGCTCAAATCATCATAATAATTTATCTAAGTACAGGCCCTTGTAAATGAAAAAAGCCC